ATACATATTTGTTTTATTTACAAGGTATCAGCGTATTATAGTCTACAACAACACTTTATATTTTAGTATATGTATATATAATTTTTTTTTAATCCACTTTGTTTCATCAAAGTGTATATTATTGGTTTTCTTATTATTTTTTTTTTAAATCCACTTATGGTCCGGGTGTTGTTTTTTCTTATGATCAAGACCCTCGCCTAAGTGGTTGGCGACCCGATTTCCTTTTGCAAGGGAGCCATGAGGGTGGCGACTCCACAATCCGTTGCGTGGCCCAAGTCGTCACCTCTCAATATGTGTAAAAATAATCAGTGCAAATTCCATTTTTTATCTATTTTTTTTGGTCCTTTAAAGTTGACTTTTGTGAAAATTTATAATAAAAAAAAGTTTAATTTGCTACCATAACTTTTAGCTCGACTTAACTTATTACCCTCAACGGCTACTACGGAATCACCGACAGGGCACCGATTATGACCTAAGCGCGGCCAACAACATTATCAAAAAAACTTACAAAACGCTCCACCTTAACTTCAACGTAAGACTATGACGCAGTTTCAATGGAAATTTATTGTCGCTAACGTGAGCATTCCTAACATTGGTTCCTACTTTATGACATATACCACTTGTTGTTAGGTTGACGTACCAAACGTTTTAACGATGACGTTACAGTCTTGTCTGTATGGGGTAAGTCCTCTGTAAATCAATGTAGCATAAATTCTTTATGGTGACTATCAAGCACTAAACGCCTGCACTATACCACATCTTATTTAGTGAGACACAAATCCATGATTTCTCACACAATCTGGCTAACTTCACGATATTTTATAAAATATCGGTAAAACAAGGTACGTGACCCATTTATTACTCTCCATCTATGAATCGGTGAACTATTCTAGGCACATAGTTGAAACAATACCATGTAGTACTTTCACTATAAAAGTCCGAGGTTAACCTATCTCCCGCCGAATGAAACTCCAACAACCAGGACTATGTACTACCAGCTACTGCTCTGTATAGGGCCTATTAACAACAGTCGCCTAGAACCAAACCATCAACATTACCAGAACGCAAAACTCGCTCAGGCTGCCAAGTAAGATTCCCAGACATTTTCGACCCCATCTAATTCCACTCCGAGAGGGGGTGGTGTGATGGTCGAACATTATAGAATGTTTGACTGCTCCAGCGAGAAGATATTTAAGGCTGGAGCGGTTTTTCCCTAGTCAGTTTAATTAGTTTCAAATTTGGGCTCCCTGCTTTCAACGTACATATATTCTTGTTGTATACCACACAGTGTTTTATTATTTTTGTACAATTGCTTATTAATAAACGTCAATACTCATTAAACAAAGTGGTCAATTATTGATTTAATTATCACAATATTATCCAAAGGGACATTTTTAGATACATAAAATTAAATACTTAAGAACTAAATACTGAGATAATTTTAAATTGATTAATACAATTTAACAAGGATTGTCTTCTAAATTTTTTTTTCAATTAATAATGATTTATTTGATTAATAAATGGCGGCTTCCTATTAAAACTATTATTTAAGCAATTAATTTTTGTAGTGCAATAAGATATCAAAATATTGGTTTATATCCTTATTTAAACAGTATTATATAATATATCGATCACTTATTTAAACAACTGTTTCTAAAAAAGGAACCCGAGTCGAAATTTAACGCATCAGTAGCACATCTAGATTGTCAATTCTATTGTTTTCTTTCGAGTAGGATAATTTTAGCCCATCAGTAGCGTTTCAGAGGTCATCACTAACAGCTTAGTGTCTCAAAATGAATAAAATACCAAAAATTAAGCACATCAATAACGCATCAAATTTGTAATTTTCAACTTTACTGTGAAATAACGTTTCAAAAACTTATCAAAATCATAAAAATTTTAAAATCGAGTTAGCATTTCATTAACACATCAAAGTTTTCAATATTTATAAAATAACTTTTCTAAAATCCTAATAAAAATAATATTTATTTCTAAAATAAAGTGAAAAATATTTATTTATTTAATAAAAGATTACATTTATTTTATCAAGTTTTTACAGTATGTTTATGAATTTCGATTATAATTAGGATATGTATGAGGTATGTATGCATATTAGGGTGTCCCTTATTTTGAAAATTTTGGAAATTCTTCGGGCTCACCCCCCAAACTTGTGTGTATACATATAAAAAGTGTCTACAAAAAATTTCAGGCCGATCAGATAAGTTTAACCCGTGCCGACTTGGGGTTGAAAATCGGCCAAAAGGGGTACTTTTTTAGTTTTTAGCAATTAACTCGTAAATTAGTACTCTCACAAAAAAAAAAAAATTAAAACTAAATTGTAGATCTAATTGTTTTGTATAAATTAAGTCCTTACAGTTTTTCTTTTAAATCCATTAGTTTTCTAGAAAAATGTCAAAATACATAATATTTCGTAAAATTGCCGAAATTAGCATATTTACGAATATTTTATCATATATGACGAACCATATGTGATACGACCTAATGTTTCATACAAAAATTGTTTAAAATTAAATTTTGCGAAATAAAAGTATTAAGTACAAATTTCATTGAACCGATCGTTTTATTGCTATAGCTGAATTAACTCGATCATATTACGATTTTTACTAAATATATGAATTTTATTGCTTAATTTAAATATATTTCCTTTATATTGTAAAGTGATGTATTTGTTTGACTTAAACTCATAATGATACTTACTTCTCAATATTATTGTATAAATTAAAAAAAAGTTACTATATAAAATACAAAATGTTAAATTCAAAATAATTCACAAATTATAACAAAAATATACATTAAAAACTATGTTTTAATGTTTTTTTGTTGCAATTAGGATATAATATTCTATGCTCTTGAACACACAGTGTAAAAGTAACTCAGCTTTTTCATCGTTTACAGTTAAACTTTCATGAAAATCTTCCATTACCTTAACCGCTTTATCTGCAGAGTCATTTACTACTTTAAGTGAACATACAATTTCTTTTTCGTGTAAATAAAAATTATCAGTATTCCAATTACTTGGATCCAAATTTAAAAAATTAGTATTGATATCGAATCGTTTGAAAAATTTCATACTGCTTTTTGACAAAAAAGAAGCTACAGTTTTTCCTAAAAAAAAATATCAATCACTGAATAGTCATCAAAAAATAAAGATATCAAAAATTATTATACCTGAAAATGATTTGTCAATATGACTCGATGAAAGAATAAAACGTTTACTAGGGTTTATTATTGACTCATTATTAAGGGATACAACCATTAATTTTTTTATTTCGGTTGAAATGGAATCGTCCATTTCCCAGAAAATATTACACTCGCGAATAGTCAATACTGCTTTTGCTCTTATAGTAAGATTAACAATTCTTAGGTTATAAAAAAAAACTTTTAGAACTTGTCCAATGGATGGAAGTTTTGAACCTAAAATTTGAGTAGTCAAAGACCCTATTAAAAATATTTTATTGTCATTTCTTAATACTACGGACATTTTTACGTACACTAAAAGAAAAACACAATAGGAAGCAGTTCAACTTAATACGCGATGTGAGCGACTAAAGTGGTATAAGTATAAGTTCACTATATCTATTGCTGCGATTTGTAATAAATTTACGATTTCCAGAGTTATTTATAATTTAAAAATAATAACAATACATTAATTCAGTCATACCATAGTATTATCGCCGTACTTGTACGATAAGTGTTGTAATGAACCAGATGATAACTAACAGAATCTAGCATTAAAATTCATATATTTAGTAAAAATCGTAATATGATCGAGTTAATTCAGCTATAGCAATAAAACGATCGGTTCAATGAAATTTGTACTTAATACTTTTATTTCGCAAAATTTAATTTTAAACAATTTTTGTATGAAACATTAGGTCGTATCACATATGGTTCGTCATATATGATAAAATATTCGTAAATATGCTAATTTCGGCAATTTTACGAAATATTATGTATTTTGACATTTTTCTAGAAAACTAATGGATTTAAAAGAAAAACTGTAAGGACTTAATTTATACAAAACAATTAGATCTACAATTTAGTTTTAATATTTTTTTTTGTGAGTGCTAATTTACGAGTTAATTGCTAAAAACTAAAAAAGTACCCCTTTTGGCCGATTTTCAACCCCAAGTCGGCACGGGTTAAACTTATCTGATCGGCCTGAAATTTTTTGTAGCCACTTTTTATATGTATACACACAAATTTGGGGGGTGAGCCCGAAGAATTTCCAAAATTTTCAAAATAAGGGACACCCTAATGCATATATTGAGGAATTTATTAAACTAATAAATAATTATTCTTCTTTATCTTAAATATTTATATTTATTCTAATTCCGTGCTGTTTATGGGACAACTAATGTACTTTTTATTATTTACATTCATATAATACATATATCTAAAAGGTTTTCAATTGAAACCATTGAATACTTCTTTGTATACGTGCAGTTGTATATGTGTGGAAGCCAAATGTTATAATATGGAAAAACTAATTTGAATTCTTGATTTCTTTTAAGTCTTTGTATAATGACATAATGTTTAGGCACACATTGACATTGACCATTAATACATTCACATTATTATTATTATTTGTGATGTTTTTGAAACGCTAGTGAAATGCTAATTTTCAAGAATAGCGCATCAACAGCATTTCAAAGTACTCAAGTTTAGGCTATCAATCACGCATCTAACCTGGGCAATCCCGAATAACTGCAATTTGGAAGTGTTATTGATGTGCTAAATACCATTGAGCGAGGTACTTTTAAGACTATCACTAGAGCATCAAACGTCTCAATTTTTGAAAACTTTGAGATGCTATTGATGTGTTAAATTTCGACTCGGGAATATCTATTTTATACTAGTTGACAAGAAAATTGAAATCGATATTGATAATATCGCGATTTTTCAACACAAGAATGATATTCAATAATAGTTGTTATATCATACTATTTATATTTGAATAGATTATTTTGACTACTTACTTAAATGTGTTTCTGTGCAATAAAAAAGCTGCGACATGGCCAGTATCAACATATCTCACATCAGCTCCCGGCCAAATATCTTCTAATTTAGCCATACTTTCTAGAGGAACATAACCATCTTTTTTTGCACAAATTGCTATAACTAAGTCCATATCAGCTGGTCTATTAAAATTTCTCAAGTGAGTACATTCATCCATTATACCCTTCATAAAACTTAAAGCTTTCAAGTTTAAATCTGTAAAATATAAAATTAAGTGTAGCCTTTATAAATTAAAGTAAGCAAAATTTTTTTATAAATAAATGATACATATTCAAACAGCTTAAAAATAATTATCTCTCAACCATATTTATGGTAAAAAAGTGTAGTTGTAAACATAGTCGCAACTAGATAAAAAACCCAGCACAGTGGGGTCGTGGCATAGTTGGGTCCAGTATAGATGATATCTGACAGTGATTAAAATCACTATCATAAAAAACGCTTCGATGCACATCTGTAGATAGTGTTTAATTAAAAAAAAAAAATTTGTCAAAAAAGTAGGTCAAATGAGAGCTGAGAAAATAAATGATAGCTACATAAAAAAAACCACATAGTAAAATAATATTAATATGAATTTCTTCTCACGAGAGGAGACTACAGTAATGGAATCCTTGATATTTATTGAATCTAAATAAGATAAAATCAAATGAGTTAAACATTTTTTTCTAACTCAAAAAGAATTAGTTTCTACTATAGTTTTGTGTATGAGTAGTAGGGTGATCCTTATTTTTCGACTTACGAAATTCCTTGGCCTCACCCCCCAAATTTGTTTATATACATGTAAAAACGAATCAAAAAAAATTTCACGTCAATCAGACAAGTTTAACCCATGCCTACTCGGGGTTGAAAATTGGACAATGGGGAATGTTTTCTAGTGTTTTGTACTTAATTCGGAAATGATCGATCATAGAAAAAAAAATATAGAATATAAATTGTTGACAATGTTATGGACTATAAGTTTAATTCTTACACATTTTAGCTTCGATGCGAAGCCGAGAAGATATTAATTTTACTATAATATGACATATTATAGTATTATTAATATGTTTTTTTTTGTGTCTGTTACTTCTTTTTCTCAGCTCTCATAAAACCGATTTCATTCAATGAGACGTCAAAAGATCACAAAGCGTATCTAGTCGAAGACATTACCCTCAAAAATTGAAAAAATTTCCCTCGTTCCCCGTAAATGGGGGAAATCTCCAAAAAAATTAAAAATTTAAAAATCGCCAATTTTTTCAATTTTTTTTACTTAAAATTGCTATAACTTTTTTAAAAATAACCGAATGAATATAATTTTTTTATATATAGTTGCATGATATCATTACCTTCCATTTGGTATATTTTTTTTTATATGTGACCCTTTACCTGCCCACGGGGGAGATTTAAAATGACAACTTTTTCACAGAAAATTTACTTTTTCAACTTGACTTTTGAAAATGTTCCGGAAAGTCTGACACTTTTATATATATCTTAAATTAAAGGTAATGTAATATACTTTATCATGAGAAAATAAAAACGTCCCCATTGTGCTACGACCCCACTGTGCTGGGTTTTTTTTTAGTTATGACTAACAATATAGCATATTAAATTTATTTTGATGAAGACCAGTTTTTTTTTCTTTACCAATGTTCATTTAGTAAGTAAAAAAAAAATTGTTTTGGTTTGGTCTAAGTGGTGACGTCACTTTGCCGTGACCCCCCCCCCCTGTGCTGGGTTTTTTTTTTTTTTATTATAAAATTTCATTTTAATGGACAAAAAAAATTAGGTCAAAAATTATTACTTTTAACATATTAAAAATTATATAATATATAAGTAAAAGAATTACTAATCTAGATATAATTAAGGAAATAGAAGTTGATGTTGCTTTTATAATTATCCACCAATTTCTTAGAATTAAACGTTATCTACAGATTTGCATCAAAGCGTTTCTTATGATAGTGATTAAATCTATACTGGACCCAACGAAGCTACGTCCCCACTGTGCTGGGTTTTTAAATATTTGTTTACGCATATTTTGAGAATATATTAAAGAGAATAAATACAAAACATTACACTAAAAATATTTCTACAATGTGCTTAAAAAATATATTTTTAAATATTTGCTTATAAATATTTATTATGAAAATATATTAATTAGAATAAATATAAAATATGTATCTCGAAATATTTGTAGAATATATTATCAATATAATTTTTTAAATATTAAAAAATATATATCTTGTTGGCAAACTGAGGTCACTTAAGAGAGGTGAGCCATCTTCTTGCCTCCCTTTAGTTATTACCTGTGATGTTATTGGTATCTAGTTATAAAATACTTATTCCAAAATCCGTAATAAGTAAACAACCGTTTTCTTTAATTAGTATCAATTTTAATTAACTTAATTCAATTAAGGTAGGCAAGTCAGGGACAGTAAAAAAAACCCTTATTGCTATTATTTGCAGGCTTATCGAGTAATTTTTTTTAGTTTTATCAGCGTAATTATGTCCTATTATTGTCCTATGAAACTTAAAACCCTAAAAAGGTGTTTCTTATAGTTACAATATATTTTTATATAACCAATAGGTCAATTTTTAACTTACGGGGAGATCACGGTAATGGGATCACCTATTTTCAAAAAAGTAGTATGAATCTAATTTAAATTGAATATACATTTGCACTTACTTTGAATTTTTTGCCAATATCCCCCCTAAACGTGAAAAAGTAACTTTGAAATTTTAACTACCTTGAATAGCCTTTTCTATCGCCCTGTAGTCATAGTAACCTATGGGTCAGTTGGGAACGTGTGGGCTTCTAACATTCGACGTAAGACGATTGAATCTTGCAGGCGGGTTTACTTTTTGAATTTTTTTAATACATTCATAAAACATTTTACAAAATATTGTCAAAATATTTTTTTTATAATATTTTAGAAATATACCTTTAATACATTGTGGAATGTGTTTATCGCTGCCAAAGTATATCCTGAGAAATTGTGAGAATATTTTAAAATATTCTGGTTACATTCTAAATATATTTTAATATAAAAAAGAAATACTCTAGAAATATTTCATTGCTATGTGGGCGCAGGTATCCGATATTATAACTTTTGTTTGACAGTTACGAATATCTTTTCTCTAAAGACTCATTATTCTACAACTATTTTCAAAAAGTGTCGTTGCGTCGTAATTGAACACCGCACATTGACACTAGGTATTTTTGTAAAAAATTTATAATACATCAGTTGATGCAGAATTTATTTCTCAGTATACAATAAGAATCATTTTGATAACAAAATGAATATCTCTCTTGAAGGTCTTAAAATTATATTATTGTTAATTTTATAGCCACACAAAACAAAATTTTTTTCCGATCTGGAGATTTTGATTTTCAAAGAAATTCATGAAATTTATTCATATGATCTACGTAGTGTTGGGTACGGTTTTTTAACGAAAGTTATATTGAAAATCTGAAATTCTGAAGTTTTGGATTTTGGTTTCGGATTCAGTAACACTAATACTTATAATAAACATGATCTGGTCCACGGATTCGAAAAAAAATGTATAAGTGTTTTTTGAAGTTATATTAAAACACTGATGTGATGGGGTTTTTTATTCTATGTATTTGGAATATATATATATAGTTATAATAATAACTAATTATAATAATAAATAATAATATAGTTGTAATATATAGTTAATATAATTTGTATAATAAAAATTGATCACTTGTGGCTAATTAATTAAGTAAAATTAAAACTATATTAAAAATATTATTAATTTAAAAAACTAAAAAATATTAAAAATATTAAACTCAAAGCCACAAAAAAATTAATGAAAAGTCGCGGATACGTATTTCGGAAACAATGTTACCATTATCAACGCTAAACACATACTGACACCCCGACTAGAAAAAACTCCCTTATATACCCCTAGTGACCTTATCACCTAGTGACGTTATCACTAAGTAATATTATCACATTTTGCCAGTTTACACAAGTTTAATAATGAATTTTTCAGTGGGCCAAGATCCCAATTAATTAAATTGTTTTTATTTTTAAACATTTCTATTGCTTCTCTGATATTAAGTTCTTTGTAATTATTTACGTTTTTAATTAGTTTTATGGTTTTAATAGAGTGATTATGTGTCAATAAATGTTCAGCCACTGGAGATTTCTCAATTTCTTGATTTTTAATATTTCTTAAGTGCTCTTTAAACCTGACCCCTATATTTCTTTTTGTTTGTCCTACGTAACATTTATTACAACTTTCACATTGTATTTTATAAATGCCTGATTTCCCCCCTTCATCTACCTTATCTTTAGGGTTACCTAATAAATCTCTTAAATTATTACTCTTAGATGTTACCAAAGTAATACCAAAATTCTTAAATATTTTAGTTAATCCATTTGAGATGCCCGGATAAAATAAAATTGGTGATCTAATTACTTTTTGTTCCCCCTCGCTGGTGAGTGTACTATCTGCCCTCCTTTCTTTTTTCCACTTTTGTTTTCGGACTAATTTCAAAATTATGTTTTCGTTATACCCATTAAATTTAGCTATTTCTTTTATAACCACCAATTCTTTATCATAATCTATTTTATTCATCGGAATATTAATTAATCTGTAAACCATACTATTAAAAGCTGACAATTTGTGTTGCCAGGTGTGGTTCGATGTGTTCGGAATGTATCTGAACGTGTGTGTGTTTTTCCGATAAATTTCAAAATTTAGTTCCCCCTCTGTTCTTTTAACTAATAAATCCAAAAAAGGCAATTTTCCCTCTATTTCTTGTTCATATGTAAATTTAATCGATGGGTAAAAAGAATTTAAATGTTGTATGAAAACCCCCATATTAAAATCTTTATTTATAACTGCAAAAATATCATCGACATACCTAACCCAAATTTTTGGAAAATCACCATAAGTGTATTTTAAATTTGTTTCAAACCTACTCATGAAAAGTTCTGCTAAAAATGGTGATAGCGGATTTCCCATTGCTGTGCCCTCAGTTTGCTCATAAAATTTATTTTGAAACTGAAAAACATTTTGACTCATACATAACTTTGTTAAATTAATAAGCTCATTTATTTTATCCTGTTCAATGTTTTGGTCCTTTAGCCAGTCTTTAAGAAAATCAATTGTTATATTTATTGGAATATTCGGAAATAAGGCAACTACGTCAAAAGAAATTAACCTGTCATTATTTTGAATGGTATAACTAGATAATTGTTTAACTAAATCAATATTATTTTTAACTGAAAAACTATCGAATTTTTTGAAAGATGAAAATACCCTTACTAGGTGTTTAGCCAAATTGTAAGTCGGAGCATTAATATTCGACACAATAGGTCTCATAGTACTTCCTGGCTTATGTATTTTTGGCAAAGCATATAGTTTAGGTATTTGAGGGTTTGAAATTTTAATGAAAAACCTGAACTTTTCTTCGATTATTAATTTTGAACTATTTATGACGTTTGTAGCCCCCCTTATCATTTTACTTAATGGATTCTTTTTAATTTCTTTATAAGGACCCTCTTGAATCATATTTNACTCTATTAAAACCATAAAACTAATTAAAAACGTAAATAATTACAAAGAACTTAATATCAGAGAAGCAATAGAAATGTTTAAAAATAAAAACAATTTAATTAATTGGGATCTTGGCCCACTGAAAAATTCATTATTAAACTTGTGTAAACTGGCCAAATGTGATAATATTACTTAGTGATAACGTCACTAGGTGATAAGGTCACTAGGGGTATATAAGGGAGTTTTTTCTAGTCGGGGTGTCAGTATGTGTTTAGCGTTGATAATGGTAACATTGTTTCCGAAATACGTATCCGCGACTTTTCATTAATTTTTTTGTGGCTTTGAGTTTAATATTTTTTAGTTTTTTAAATTAATAATATTTTTAATATAGTTTTAATTTTACTTAATATAATTTGACCTACAGACCCTCAAAAAAATATTTTTTTTGTGTGGGCTAGTTTTCATCCGGAGTGTTTGGTACAAATGTTGATTAGAGAAACTCTGTTAGAACCCCATTGCTAAGATATATTCATCGTATAAAAAATAAAAAAATTATGGCCAATTCGTATGGTTTAGACGTCAAGTGGATATTGATTGTCAAAATTAATATTTGTCACCTTGGACCAAATTAAAATTAAGTGAAAAACATTTACATGTCTTCTACTTTCTCAAATTTTTATAATTTTTTTTCAATAAGTGAGAGTTGATGAGGAACCACGGACAAATACGTCTTATATTAATTGATACTAGAAAAATATCTAATTAGTCCATAGCATTTTATAATTTTTAATATATAGGACTATATTTAAAAATATCTTTTATCTTACTTTTCGCAAATACAAAATATATTTTAAGATTTAATTTTTTTTATGATTTGAAGATAGCCATATTATAGATAAGTTATAAAGTAAAATTTTGATACTAAAAACTCTTATTTTAATTCAGTAGTTACATTTATACAGCATTTTGAAGTGTGTTAAATTTTTACGATTTTCCTATGATATCAAATGTTGGATCATTTTATTTAAAAGACGGAAGTAATCACTGTTTTTTTATGTTATTTATTGGTAAAAGTACACGATTTCTTTAGAAAATGGCTATCTATATATCTTAAAAATATTTTATTAAAAAAATTAATTTTTATTATATTTTGTAATTGCGAAAAATAACATATTTCATTATAGGCCTATATTGTAAAAATAAAAAGTATAAAATGTTATGTGTATTGTAAGTTGTAGGAATTTTAAGTTAGATCTGTTCCATCCTAGATGTATTCAATTGATAATGCATTCGTATGACGACCTTTTTTATTTATTATTCTCTGTTTTCTGTTTATTATATCCGTGCTACAAAATTTAATAAACAAATAATTATAAGTTAATCAAACAATTACCAAATCTTGTGTGACCTATAATCATTATTTCGTTTTACGTACACTTTTAAAATATCTTCTCATTCTCAACAACACATTTATTAAATACAGATATTTAGACCGAGCAATAGGGAATTTCGGCATCGTTTTTGGAAAACCAAATAAGGGAAACTGGTAGATAATATTCGTTGCACGAATTTTGATTTTCTTATATATTTTTACATATAAAACAACACATTATCGAGGCTATTTAACAGATACTTATGGTTAATGTCCAAAAAACAAAAATGCCAAAATTTCTTACTGCATTTATTTATATTCAACAATAATACAACCTACAACTACTGTAAAAAAATTAATAAAAATGATTTATAAATTAAAATTAACCTTATTTTTTACTATAAAATTATACTACACATAATTTATTTTAGTAAATTATTTTTTAATAATCAAAAATAGTTTAAAAATAGCACATAATAAGAAAATAAATAAAATATAATGTGGATATTGCTTTGGAAATATAGATTATTAAAGTAATTTTATTGAAATGCCTACAATAAATTTATCCAATAAGTTATAACTATAAATAGTGAATTAAATAAAATATACTATATTTTAAATTACCTTCAGTTTTTGAACTATGATAAAAATATTTCATCAAATTTTCAACTCGTTTAACATCTTTTTTAACTTCATTTTTGATATTTTTACTAACTGCAATATTATTTAGATTATGAAAAATTGACAACTTAGTTCTTTCTTTCGGTTGATTCGTTGAAAATAGTTGTGAAGAGTTATTCAATTTTTCCAAATTTTCAAGACTTGAATTTGATTGAGTGTTTGAGGATACATTGTAACTACTATAATTCATATCTTTCACGAATTTTTTTCCGGCATAAAATTCTCTCTATTAACAATTATACTAATAAATTGTTATTTATAGTATAATAGTAATTTCTTGTTCTTTTTATTATAATTAAAATTACGCTGAATATCGTTGATGCTTATTAATCAAAACTTGTAATAATTAAAGAGAAATAATCCTATTTAGTCTGAATTCTTAGTGAACTATATTTTAACACAACATTATGCCTTAGATATCATGAATAATTAGTCTAAAAGATTTGTAGTTTCATAAAGCTGATTAGTAGAGTTAAAAGTAAAACTTTTTGGATGAAATGATTAAAAAAAATGACTGAAGGACAGTTTAGCTATTAAATATTCTTGACTTTAAATAAATTTAACCCAAGAAACTTTAAGAATGAAAAACAATGTGTATGTCATAATTCAAATTATTTGTGAAACTAACCGAAAATTCCAATAGTTACTTAGTGATGTTAATGATTTACTCTCTATACCCTTATTTATGAATCCCCAACCTAAATGTATTATTCTGGCGACATTAACAATTGTATTTGTTCCTTTCCTTCTAAGAAAGTCCCAGTCTACGATTTAATTACTGCTGAGATTTCTAGACAACTCCCTAAAAGAGAAATAATTTTATTGTCTTATATCATTTATGCAATTTATTGATTATTATACTTTCCACTGCAATGAAAGTTTTCATTAATAATCCTCATACACAAAGATAATAAACCTCCCGACCTTCCGTTCTCGTATAAACCAATAAGTCTTTTGACTATTTTTCAAGTTTGTGAAAAACTAATTTTAAAGAGAGTAAATGTAATAATTAAAGAAAATAACATTCCAGACAATCAATTTGGTTTACGAGAAAAACACTCCACAATACATCAAGTACACTGTTTGGTTGATCTGATTTTCTCTAGTCTGGAAAACAACTTTATTACTCTTCTGTTATGTTTAATATTTCGCAAGCATTTGATAGAGTCTGGTATTCAGGTCTTCTACTCAAACTCCGTAACATTCTTGCTCCTTCCTATTTCCTTTTTTATAAATCCTATTTGAAGGACGGCACCTTTGCGACAAAAGTTGTCACAGAAATTTCTCCATTACATATAATAAAATCTGGCGTTCCCCGAGGTGCAATATCCTATCTCCTATTATTTAATATTTATACTGGTGACCAACCAATAACTATCATTACCCATATGGCAGACTATGTGGATGACAAAATATTAATTTCAATTCATAAAAACCATAACATCGCTGCTGTTCAACTACAATTACACCTAAATTGTATGTATCACTGGTGACAGAAATGGCTTGTCATGCTAAACGAAAATAAATCCTCTCATATTACTTTTACTTTCCGTATTAACATCCCCCAAGTTTTTATTAATCATAGTCCTATTCCTTATTCAAAGAAAGCGAAATATCTTGGTCTTATTCTTGACCGTAAACTAAACAAGTCATCCCACATTTATAGCAAAATAATAAGTGTAAACCAACGGCTAAAAACACACCAGCCACAACTCCATAAAAATACCAAAATTAACTTGCACACTAAACTTATAATATTTAAAAGTATTATCAAACCAATGTGGTCGTATGGTATTGAGATATGGATTAAGCAGTTCAAAATATAACAAAAAAGCAAAAGGAGAGAAGATTAGATAGAATAAAAGGGCTTGTGTAAAGAAGCCTAGTGGATGATAAGTAAGGTGAAATTAAAGATATATGAATCTATAGACTTGCAAAAGTAAGAGAAAAAAGGTTTAAAGATATCATTATGCAAGGCGTATAAAAAGTGTTGATATGAGGGTATGAGCTTTGTGTCAGAAAATAATAAGGATTTTTGTTTTTCGAAAAAAATATTTATTTATTCGTCTACATTAATGTTATCGCTTACAAAAAATTTCCTATTAGATATTATGCACTTGTGCCAACGCTTCTTCCAATCCTCGAAATACTTCTCAAACTCGATTTTTGGAATAGCCTTCAGCTCATTCAGCGATGCGCTTTTAATATTATGTTAATTTTTAAAACGACCCTCCTTTAAGGTTCCTTTATTTTTGAAAATAAAAATAATTCACACGAAACCATGTCTGACGAATATGGAGGCTAGGGAATTGTTACATTAATGTTTTTGGCCAAAAATTCACGAACAAGCAATCAAGTGTGAGCAGGTGCGTTATCATGGTGTAAAAGGCAAGAATTTTTTTGCCACAAATCCAGGCGTTTTTCAAATTGCTTCACGCAAACAGCGCTGAACTTGCAAGCAGTACTTCTAATTTACTATTTGATGTACTCGTGGCAAGAATTCATGATGCAATATGCCATTAAAGTCGAAAAGCACAATGAGCATAACTTTTACATTCGGTCGCACTTCTCGAGCTTTTATCGGTCTTAACGACCCAGAATGCCTTCACTGAGAAGATTGAACATTAGTTCGACGTTATATCCATAAACTCATGTTTCATCACCTGTTATATCACGTATTAGTAATTCTACATCGCCGTTCACTTCAACGACTCCAGATAAAATTTCATTAGCCGCTATTTTGTTCAACATTCAATAATCTTGGAAAACATTTTGCTGCTACACGTTTAATATCCAAAATATTTGAAAAAATTTCATTCAATCAATATTTCAACATCATCAACGACTTCTCTGATTGTAATTTGGAGATCATTCGTAACATTTTCTTTCACTTTTTCTACGTTTTCATAAGTTGTTGATGTGCTGGGACGTCTACGGCCTTCATCATCTTCAATGTCTCACAGGCATCTTAAAAACGCTTACACTACTCGAAAACCATTGTTTTACTCATGGCAGATTCATAATAGGTATTTGTAAACATTTCACACATATTGTTACACTTGATTTCATTTTTGACGCATAATTTCTACAAATACTTTGATCCATTTTTTTAAACATACGAAAATCGCTGAGATCATAAAAACACGTCTAACCTTAGCGGCTGCCACTGACAAAGTAAAAAATAAATCCAGCTGAAAATTTTATCATACTTTAGGAATAGATGTACACCTATTCCTAAAGTATGATAAAATTTGTACCAAGATTAGAAGAAAAAATTTGATAATTGGACTCGCCAAACCTGCCAAATTTAAAATTTCCCATTAATTTCTGAACACACATATTCGTATTTTGAAAAATTACTGAATTGGGAAACATTCGAGCATATTTTTTGAAACGAGTGACTGGTAGATTTAATTAGTCAGAAAGAGGCATGGAAGGCTGTGGCATCAATTAAAATGTATAAAGCATTAGGACCAAATGAAATGCCTGTAGAAGTATGGAAAATATTAGGCAGTATTGGCACAAAATGGCTAAAGAATCTTTTTAATTAAGTCCTATTAGAAGGAAAAATGCTAAAACAATGGAGGAATAGTATCGTGGCGCCGATATTTAAAGGTAAAAGAGACATACAGGAGTGTGGAAATTATAGAGGCATAAAGCTTACAAGTCAATATTATGGAAATGGTAATAAACAAAAGAATAAGAGGAAAAATATCAATAACAAAACACCAGTTTGGTTTTTTACTGAGACAGTCAACGGTAGAGCCGCCAATTTTTTGTATAATACAACTAATAGAAAAATATAAGGAAAAAAAAAGCCGTGTATGATATTTATTGACTTGGAGAAATTATGTGATAAAGTACCGAGAAAGGATTTTAAGTGAACGAACATTAATGAGAAAAAAGCTCCGAAAAGGTACATTAATATAATAGAAAATATGCATTATGGCACTTATAACTGGGTGAAAAGTGTGAGCGGAAGATTTTAGGATAAGAGTAAGAGTGCATCAAGGTTTTACTTTAAGCTCTTACTTGTTTTCTATAGTGATGGATGAAATTACTAGAGAAATACAAGGATAGTTACCATGGTGCATATTTTCACTAACGATATAGTCTTAATAGGATAAAAAAGGAAAGAAATTAATCAAAAGCTAGAGATGTGGTGATCAACTTTTGGAGAAAAGAGATTAAGAATAAGTAAGAGATCTTACTCTTCTACTTATTGATCTTACTCTTACTTTGTATACTCTGTCTTAAGAGTATACAAAAGAGAACATAAGGTAGGTGAAATCAGTGATAATAATCGAGAAAATGATAGGAAAGGTGACAAGTTTTAAGTATTTAAGATCAGTTGTACAAAATAACGGTAGTGTTGAAGATAGGGATTGAAACCATGTTTTTTTTATAGATTCCCGTTAGGATCGGTTTCTTGAAAAAAAAATTTCAGTGCTCAAAAATAAAGGTTGCATCTAAATTTGTAAAATTTAAATAAAACTAATAAAATTAAAGTCCAATTAAAATTGTATCCTGATATAATTACATACAGTTTATTAATAACAAACATTTTGGAACTCTTGATTAGGTCATAAGTTTTGTTTGATTAACTATAATAAAGCTTTTACTAATTCTTACTATTCTTATTTTTTAACAAAAATATAAAACTTTGTTAAAAATTATACAATAAATGATCGCTTGAAAGCTAAGAACCGTTTAAACCAGTGTTTCTCAACCTTTTTTATGTTACCGCCCCCTTGAGTAGGAATCAATTCTTTAACGACCCCCTATGTGAAAATTCTATAATTAATGGTATGAACTGAGAGATAGGAAGGAAGTTAATGTTTTGGAAAATTTGAATAATTATCTCATTACTAATGTTTTCATTTATGTTTTATTTTTCATATTTTTTTAATTATAGTATAAGTAAAGTAATTAGATTAAACATTTGAAAAAAAACTTAATAATTTATTAATTTTATTTTATAATAACAAATACATTTTTTTAGTTTATTTAGAAAAAATATTGCTTTTAAAAAAAGATTTTAAAATCAAATAAAAAATAGCACAGTGGGGTGGCGGCACAGTGGGGTCGTGGCATAGTTGGGTCCAGTATAAATGATATCTGACAGTGATTAAAATCACTATCATAAAAAACGCTTCGATGCAAATCTGTAAATAGTGTTTAATTTAAAAAAAAAAAATTTGTTAAAATAGCATATTTTTGAATACG